CAGACTAGACGACCTTAGAGCGGGCAATATTATTGAGCACATCGCCGTGCTTTGTTGTCCATTCTGGGCTGGACCTGTCTAAAACCGGTCAGGGGGGCAATGCTGGGACCTATCGGTATAGGTCGAGTAGGGGAATGGGCCCCGAGCTGGACCAAGAGAGGGCGCGATTTTCCTGGCAACGGACGCTCCTTCGGTAGGAACTTTACTCCTCTCTGCACCGCTGCCAGTCGTGTTTCGGTGTTCCAAATCACGTTTTTTTTCTTGTTATTAACACGTAAATGTGTCATTCTGTTTAAATTGACTAACACATCAACACGTCTTTGTTTATTAAAGATGAACACCACAACGTGTTTAGCTTTGGATTATTAACACCACAACACGTTCATAAAGTGTTACCAGGAAGGCGCTTAGAAGGCGGTAAAACATTAACACTTGTATTTGATCCATTGCAAGACATCATTTATTCTTTACTTGACATATATCCTTTTCCTGAGGAGAACAACAACGTTTCCGAAGGGCACACTAGGACTTGTTGTCGTACGCTTTCCAATCGTGGACCCTCAACCAAACCTGGTTCGGCCGCAACCCGAGTGAGTGAACGTGCACGTGCAGAGAGAGTCACGTGTATCTTGTACCGAGAGCATCCCGTGAACACCATCCTCCTAAATTAAGTGGTTTCCTCAGCCTTCGGGGATGTCATAAAATGGGACTAATACTCACTGTGCAGAGAGGATGGAAAGTATATACAAAGAGATTATGTTGACATGGGGGCGAAAACTCATCCAAACTGCTGCCACAAATAACATGGAAATCTAACTTAAGACATGATGTTGTCGAAATGGCAACCATTTGTAACATAAGATAAGGAAAATTTAAGAGAAAAAAATAAAGAGATGGACAAAAAGAGATGAAAATCACCCACTGTTTGAAAAAAGATCAGTATTGAATGTTCTATCCTCATGAGTGCTCTGCTCTCCTGGAAATTTCCCCTCCCGAAAAAGGGGTTTCCCCACCCCGGGAAAATGCTGGCTACGCTCTTGCGAGGGTATTGACGATTCCTTTCCCATTTTCTCGCATGGCGTGCAGCAGCACTGTCAACATGAGGTGGTCACGTGGATGACGACTGTGACATCTGGAGCACTTTCCGGGGGGACGGGGTCGTTCTTTTGGTATGTACAGAGGCAGGGGTGTTGATGAGCGTGGGGACGATGCGCGCGGTGTCGTTCCATCTCCCCCCCCACCAATCTGACGATGAAATCTCGAAGCTCGCATGCACTGGCAGCTCCTTGGAGATGTGCAGAGCATCAAAAACGCAATTATCTCGGAGTGTTTACAGTAACTTCAGCTTCGCTAATTGGGGTGTGATGAGACGCTTTCCCGCACAGCGTAGTAGATTTGTCAGCCGGTCGAAATTTAAACAACTTCGGTTGCTAAATTTGGTCACCGCGAAACAACCGAGACGCGACGTCAGAGACACCCACCCACACAGAGACTGAAGTGTACAACCAGGTAAAAACAGATCCATTACCCCCCCTTCAACGTCACGGCATGAGAGAAAATATATCTAATTACCGCGGTGCAGTCTGGGAGGGGATCAGGTCCTATGGGATTAGGATGGAGGCGGGATAGATATATCCACCGTTTCGGCGAGGGGTCACGGGGTCACAAAACCAGATGTCTGAACTGAAAAACAAGAATTACAGATGTTTCATCACCTCCTCTTAAATCAACATCCTCATGGAAGTATAAGGAGAACTAGCACTGCTCGAGGCGCTATCTTTTCTTTTCCTTTCTTTTTTTATTTCACAACTGTCTTCGTGGTAATGCACCTTGCACCTTCCAGAGGGAAAACGGCTTCATTGCAATGCCCGAGAGGAGACTAGCCAAGTCTCGTGGAAGCTTCCCTGTTGAAATAAATCGGACATTTAACTCTTTACCCTTCGGAAAAAATCCTCCAGGGCCACTATTACAAACAAAAAGAGTTTCTCTGCAAGAAAAGTAGGATCCGACTGCAAATAAACATTTCTCAACAAGATGAAAGAAGTTTTGAAAAGACCCCCCCAGCACAAAAAGTGCTGTTCATGTACTGGGATTTAAGCCCCCAAAGAGAAATCGCCGCCGTTTGTAGGGAAAGGGGATGAGTTCAGTTTTTGCGTTTGGTGGACATTATCACCGGTTAGGCGACTGCATAATGCATTTTATGGTCGCAAGTGCCGAGGAAAAAATTTCACTTTCGAGAATGAGAGTACGCGTGCGGTCACGCTAGCGTACTGAGAAATCGCCAGCCACATTGGCATTCTCTCTGCAGATGTACTCCACATTTTATCCATAGGGACCCAATTGC